ATTTAACCTTTTAAAAAACTTATGTAAAAAGTGTAAATTAAAAAATTGTATATATATATATAAAATTGTAAAATTTTTAGTTTTTTTAGTAGTTATAAAAATAAAATAAAAAGAATTAATTTTTAAATTTTGTACTTTTTTTACTTGCCTTCCGTTGTTCTAAAACTTAACATATAATATTAAGACATAAATTTATTTTAATTTAAAAATTGTATTTATACCTTTATCAGGGTGAAATAATGATCGTATTTAGCAGACTTATAATATTTCTGGAATGTATCGAAACCGATACCAATATAAATTTGAAAAGTTATAAAACTTATATTTATGATATAAAATATCGAAAAATATAATTTTTTTTTAGTTGTCCTTAAAAGAACAGAACAAGATATTGATATATAAAAATTGACTTTGGGCAATTTTCCTATAACCAAAATTTTTAATTATTTTATGTGGCATATATTTGAAAACAAATACAATTTAACAGAATTAAAATTCTTCTGCCTATTTATAATGTATATACTTAAATTATCTAAAAGAATGGTTTAAATGTATTCATCATATTCATATTATTGATATTTTATTTAAAATAAAATAAATTTGATTTTGTAGCTATCAAAATTTTTAACTTAACAGCTAGTGATCTGCATGGCCTAATTTATCAAGCCCGGCCCGAAATTTTTTAAAAAAGATTCATCCTGCCCAACCCGATCTAGAACAAAATTTTTTATTTGTCCCGCCCGAAATATAAATTGTCCCCCTGGCCCGGCCTAAATCTTTTAAATATATAAAAATTGATTGTAAAAATTCTACAAATAAAACATAGAGCCTTGTTTCTTGCAAGAATTTAAAATATATCAAATTATTTGACAAAATCTAATAATATATATTTAAAATTTCAAACCCGACCCGTGGCCAATTTTTAAAACATATTATCCCATCCCAGCCTAAAACAAAATTATTTTTAAAGATAGACCGGGCTCGAAATTCGTATGGGCCATGATTTGTAGATCTTCAAGCAGAACAATACAAAACTTTTTAAACTTGGGAGTAATCTAAAATTGATAGTGCTAATTTTCTTTATTTTTTAAAAAGAAAAGAAGATTAAAAAGCTTCGCATAGTAGAACAGTATTACAAAACTTTTAAGACTTAGGTTTAGTTTAAAATTGATAGCGCCAGTTTTCTCTACTCCACGAGAGAAAAATTAAAATATTTAAAATAACTTGGTTTTGGATTGAGTAAAAAGATTTAGTTGTTTTAAATATAACTTTCTATCCAGTTCAAAATTAAGTTGTTTAAATAATTTTACTTCATTACTTCGTACAGAAAAAAAAAATTGGCGTTAACGTTACCCAAAAGTTTTATAATACTGGCATATTGTCCATGCCCTTTTATTTGGTCTAAATCCGAATTATTTTAAACTTTTAATATTTAGTGATAAAGTGCCGCCTTTGTTTTATGTTAATATTCTTTTATTATATTACAGACTTATTTAAAATTTACAAAATATTTAAAAGAAAATTATTATAACAGAGGATGCTAGAATAATTTATATAACTGACAAAATGAATCTATAAATAAATGTTAAATAACAACTAAATATTGAATAATTAAACAATATCATAATTCATATCCAAATTACTACATTTTCCATTAATCAATTGAAGCACCGAATATCTTTTTGATGGGGTGTTCTACCGGAATATGTCAATATTTATTGTACCATGTAATGTCTGATCAGAAATGACTCTCAGTTCTGAAATGTCTGAAAAAGCATCCAAGCCTTCCCTCTTAAAAATTAATTTTCGACTGTGGAATTTATCTGCCTTTTTATTAAGTGGTATTACCTATTAATATTCACTCTTCCCCAAACAAAATCTAAGGAATTCACGAATGATTGGAGTATATTTGTTCAATTTTCTATGTCATTACTATTCTCTTTGCAAATCATTCATTGAATAGTTTGCTTAGTGTTTTTCATTTGGGTACCTTCCTCGTAATAGGATGCATAATAATTCTAATTTGCAGAAATGATAAGTCTATTTATTCACCAAAAATGATGAATAGATTATTCACCAAATATAATGAATATATAAACCACAAAAATGATAAGTCATATTATACACAAAAATAAAATAACTTTTATTCACAAAAATGAAAAGTCTATTAGAAAAATTTACTATCCAATTCCATTAAAATCATTCCCCGAAAAAGTTTTCCTTATTGTTATGTAACGCTTTGTATACTACGGCTTATTGTGTTTAGGGAATTTTTATCAACGACATTATACCATGAGGAGGGATAACCCCATTAGTTTCAGCTACCGGTCATACTGATATCTTTTTTGGACACTCTAACATGGCCAAATGCCTTTAGCTTGGACATAAACATTTTTAATGATCGCGAACACATGTTAATGCTGCAAGTGATTGATCTCTAAACAGAGCTCTAATGATCATTATTCTCAGCAGAGCATCAATATTAGTTAGTGGGAGCAATTGATCTCTCAATGGATAAATAATGACGTCAATTGATCTCTCAAAAGATTATATCGGTTCTACTAGCAATTGAAGTGTCAACAAAACACATCATTTTGCTATATGGCCATTAATTCAAAAGTTCGTACTCATGGCGAACTGCTCAAAATGTTTAATTTGAGATCCCAGGATGAGCAATTTATTTTTAATTTTATGGTTCAGGTCACTCATATTATTTTATTTATCAACGTTAATAATACTAATTTGTATTAGTAGCACCTTGCAGAATTTAATAAAAATTATCAAAAATTACTTTTATTTTTGAATGAAATCTATTCTTTAAATTATATTTCATCGAAATTCGTTATTTTTAATGATTGGCTTATTAATCACCAGCAAAATGTTATATATTATTAAAACAAAATGAAAAAATAAAACTTAATTACATAATTATATAAGAATATAATCCACGGAAATCAAATAAAGCTTATTCAACAAAATACTTCAGACGATAACCCTTTAGTTACTTCTTGAAATATAAATGATGCAATTGTGGTAATCCCCCCCCCTTCCTGTAATAGATCAAAATATCATATAAGCTAAAATTAAAAAAACTCATCATATCACAAAAGTATTCCATTTAAACATAAACCCTTTTAATTGGGATAATATATCCAACCCCAAAATATACCTTGCTTTTAAAAATTTATAAGTCCAAAAACTTATCGCCATTTAGAGATTCTCTGGATACATAATCCAGATTTATAAACTTAATATATATACACCAGAAAAAAAGAATCAGAAGGTCCTGTCATATTTCAATGATAAATAAAGATTGGGTAGCTACAAGAATCTACCAAGAAACTCTCACTGCCTCTTGCCGGTATTGTTAAAAGCTACTTTTAAAAGTGGCGTGCTATCGCTACCGCTATTTTACAAAAAAAGTAGAGCGCTTTTAATACCGAAAAAATTTTGTTATAAAAATGTGACTTTAATCTCAAATATATATATAATTTATTTATTTTTTATTGAATTAAAATAATAATAAAATTTCTATACTGTTATCCACAAGTTTAGTGCGACGAGAAAGTATAAACTTTGCTATACTAAATAGTTGTTCAATACTAGAACTTGAGAATGCATTATTAAATTTAATATACATATTTTTTATATAAGAAAAATTATGAAAAATATCATTTGAGTATTTTTAGATTTAAAAAATGGATCTAGAGGATATCCAATAGTATTATTATTTATTTCAAAAAAATCACCTATAGTAGGTGACATTTTTGATCCGGCTAGGGTATCCTGGTTTGAAATAGTAATAATTAAAGTTACCCTCTATTAAGTTGTCCTTTGGATTCAGTCAAACTAATATATCACTAATGTCATTAAACGCCAGGGTCGATTTTTAAAAACGGCCCGATTAAGATTTTAGTCAAAATAATTTAATAAGATTGGAGATTTTGCCTTAAAGATCCCAGTAAAGTTTGGATCTGTCTTTAAATCTCAAGGCTTACATAATATTTTGGCTAAAATTTTAATCTCGCAGTTTTTAAAATTAGCCAAATCGGGCTGTTTTGCAACACTAACCAATTCAACTTGAAACTAGGGTGAACAATAACGCCATGTTTAACATTCAGTTAATAAAGATGATTTATAATATCATTAAATAGATGAGTCTGATGATAAAATAAGATGTTAATATTAATCCTTTATTGTAATTTTTAATTTATAATATAATTCTTAAATAATATCTTAAGGCCAGTTGAAACTTAACATGTTTGAACTGAGACAGAAAATCAACTTTCAAGTAAACGCGGTTTTATATTTTAAGGTCCCCGGAAAAGGCTGAATTTTTTTTAAAATATATTAAATTTATTTTTAATTTTTATATATAATAATGACGATTTAATGGTTTGAAAATATTCGGAGGTCAGGGTATTTTTTAAAGAAATCTTTTTAAGCACTGTCCGGATTAAAAAACTTTTCAATTAAAATACAGTCTGGCCCGTTCGCTATTAAAAATGTAGCGCGTTAAAGCTACAGCACTGAAAAAAAAGTAGCGCGCTAACACTTTCACTTGCAAACTACAGAAAATATGTATAATATTATTATTTAGAAAAATATAATTTTTTTGCTTTGTTTTTTGCTGTTTTGGTCTGTTCCCTCTAAATTTAATGTTTACTTATTTCGGATCCAATATAAACTAGTTAACCCTTTATCAATCATTGGTCATTTATATAATTTTTTCTCAATGTTACTTTGAAATTTCAGTGCTTACCACGATTACTGATATTATTATAATTTGTAAAGCTCATTTTTGGATGGTAGCGTAGCTTGTTTTACATTGTTTGGCTTAACCAGTCTACCAGATTTTAGTGTTCATATATGTTTAATACATCGATCAGATCTAATATCATTGTCAGTTGGTCAATTTAATTTCTGAATATTTCCAAAATAGTTTTTAGCGTTCAGTCAACCAAGGAACTAATGCTCTATGAGAGTTCCAAATGTAAACTATGGTTCTTAATTTGTTGAGCAAGGATATTATGGTTGTGCTCAGAAGTTTTTTTAAAGGTTGGAAGTGGGCATTAATTTTACCTTCATGGTTGGACAATTGTTTCTTATTTAAATAAATGCAGTAATTTTCAACAGGACAAATCTATTTTCCCGATAGCATTCAGATTCTAAAATACTTGCAATTGATCTGACACCAAAATTTATTTAAAATTTAGGTATTAAATGTTAAACTATAGGTAAAATGAACCTAGTATATTTTATTAAATTTATAAGTGCATGAATCAGTATTGGTCGGATCAAGTATCGCCAACTCTTTTCAATTTTAAGCTGAGCAGTTTAGCTAGGACATTCCATATCTCCGTAGAAGCCAATAATTAAGCATAAATTTATAAAATACTTAGTAATATTTTTTATTTATTATAACATTATTTTATAATAAATGGAAATAATACGCTAAAGAAATTCTTACAAAATCTGATTAGTGTTTATAGAATATAACTTTTTTATTGAAGGCTAAAATTTTATAATGAAAAATATAAATCAAATGCTTTGCCTCTTCAATAAACAATAATTATTAATAATTTTATTAGAGCCCCTCAGATTATAGGCTTATGAATCTGGGGTGCAAAATTAATTGCTCACGCCATTGAGATTAGGGACTAATCACTAAGTGAATCATGTGTTATTTATGGGTGTCAAAGAAGCTGATTAGATATAGCTTTATTAATAACATATTTTTAAAATGCTTTATAACATAGATATATTAGGATTGGTTTTAAACATTTAATCTGATTGATTTAATTATTATGGATTATGAACACGGTTGTGTATTTGACCGACATTTGGCCGGTCAAATATAAATTAAAATATATATTTTTAAGACAATATAAAATAAATTATAATATTAATTTTATAATATTTTTTAAATTTATTGTCATTCAAAATTAATATTTCGTTTTCCATGGCAGAGTCTTTTCTGATTCATATTCATTATCATTTTTTTATTTTTCAATCAATTTATCTGTTGTCGAGATCTTCAATGGATTTCTGTTTTAGTGGAATATTAAACAAATCGACCAATTACTCTCTGAAGAGGAAGTCGAAATAGAAATTGTTAGTAAAATGCCACTTTTTTAATGCCAGATTAAATACTCCTCCCGTCAATTGACTGGTTAATAGACTGAATTTGACCGGGCAATTGACCGACTTGTCAATAAATATTATGAACATTTAAAACATACTTTTTAAATAATTGTTGGCAAAAAATGTATAGGCATGATTCGATTCTAAATTGAAAAATAAAACTTTATACATCTAAATATTAAGTGTTGAAATTTTTTTTTTTTTTAAGAATACTGATTTATTATATAATTTGTGTAAAATAATACATAGCGTTAAAATACTAAAATAAAATAATATAAAATAAAATAAAATAAATAAAATATTATATAAAAACCGAGGTGGGGACTACAAGTTCCCAAAAAACATGTGTAGTTATATTTTAAAATTATGATTTGGAGGTTTTGTTTTAAGAAATAAGATTCTTTAGGTTCTGATGTAAGGGCTCTTATCTTATCCCCTATATTTTTTAAAAACTTTAAAGTTCCACTTGGCATATGTCCAAGGGAAGAGATGACAATCGGTGTAAAAATATAATTTGTGAATTTGGAATATTTCATTGTTTTTTTTTTCTCGGCTATATCAACCGGATTAGAATTTAAATTTTTTGGGAAAGAAGATACGCATGTGAAGTCCCAAATTAAGGATTTCCCTAAAGACCAAGGCACGGAAGTTAAACCATCTGGTCTTAAGCCATCATCTAACGATAAATTTGTAGGCTCCAGGATGTTTGGTATTCGGGCCCTGGTAAGAGAACGGCTAATAGCTAAATTAATTGCTGCATGCCTTGCATGCCTGCCTTGACTATATATACAATTTAGACCATGTCTCCCTTTGGAGTCAACTAATGTTTTACATTTGATGCATGTATGTGGTTGAACAATGTTACATCCAAGTCGATGGCCTATGGCAACTCTTAATTGTTCATCTGATAAGAGGTTACCTAGGTTACGACTTGGTAATGCTTCCAACCATTCATAGCCACTAGTACAGTCAGCATTCTGTAATAGTTGAATATACTCCAAAGGGGGGTTTGATGAGATTATTTTAAAAAATTTTTTAATTAAAGGTTCGAAAAGAGATTGGTGTGTTAAGATCGTGGGTAAGACAGCTTCAGGTGGAGCTAAAGATGTCATTAAAGAATAAACCTTGAAATTGTTAACAATATTTAATTTGAAAATTCATATTGTATAATTCATATTGTATTACGCTAAAAGGATAATTAAATTTTAAATTTTTTGGAATCCAAATATTTTTTTAATTACAAAAATAATGACAGATCGTTTGTTTAATAAATAACTCCAAAATATTTATAAGGTAAATAATCAAACTTTTAATTTTTATTTCTTTAAACATACTCATACATTATTAATTGAAATAGGTTGAAGTGAATATTATTTTTTCTAATGGCTACAATCAGGTCAAATTTATTTATTCTAATTTTCATTTGCATTCATAGCCTCATTCTACTAAATGGACAAGAGGCACCAAGATTTGGAGTTATTAAATTATATGATTAAACTTTATATATTATTGTGCTATAATTCCATTTGTACCAGAAATGTGTGTTTTTACCAAAATCCGGCAAAGGATTATTCTAATAAATAATATAAAATTTGAATAAGAGAATTTTTCGTAGCTAAAAATATTGCCATATTTTAAATTAATAAAGATTAATAAAATAAAATTATCTATTCCACTTAATAGTTTGCTTTATCTATTTATTTTACTAAAAGCCTGCCGAGAATAGAGGTACAATTGTGCCTGCTCCAAATTTTAACCCTCAAGCAGATGCTAAAGCACTAAGGAGAGCAGTGAAAGGAATCGGTATAGAATAAATTTGATCAGCTTTTATTAGATTATGAATCTTTAATTTATAATCATCTTATTATACAGTTAATTCTTTGTTTGCATATATCTATTCTATGTCATTGTAAATTCACTCTATTTAACTACGTTGTTCATAGAAGTATATAATGTTAGCTTTAACATTTTTCAGTCAATAATTTCAACAATAAATCATTTTTTGCCGACTTTATTAAATTTAAAAATTATAATTTTGATGGAAATATAGTTTAGCATGTGTAAGAAAACAAACTATGTGATTAATATAAAAAATTTTCATAATTTTTGTTATATAATTTACATTAGTTATTCCATAGATTTTAGATATAAATATAAAATTACTAAAAAGTTATTGTAAAATTAAATAGAAAGTTGGAATACTTTCCCGTAAAATAAGATATTTAAAATTTAATAAAAACTATTGAAAAACAAATAAAAGTTGAGAAAATAACACATTGATTGGAAAAACATGTTGAGGCTAACTTATAATATATATCAATCAATTTCAAAAGATTTGACTCTTTCAATATACATGATATGTTAATAAGATTATCACTTCTTTATGGTATGTAATACATTTCGTTTTTATAAGATATGTAAAATTGTATTACATAAAACATTAGACATAATATTTTATGGCGCCCCATAGGCGTAGCCAATATCTTTCTAAGGGCTAGGTACCTCCTCCCCATAACCTTTATTGGAAGTCTTAACTTTACATCATGGATCTTAACTACATATTGCAGACCTTCGTCTGTTATATTTTTAAATTATAATTTCGGCTTCTAACTTATTTATTATTAAAATGCTTTTTTCTAAAAGTTTGAAATTATAGTTATTTTAAAAAATTATTAACTTTTATTTATTTTTCTTTAAAAATTACTCCTTATATTACATAAATTCTTGGGTAGAGGAGGTGAGGGCGCGGGATAAAATTTATTTATCTCAAAAGGATATTCATGTAAAAGGCAAATTTCCGAAGATATAATCATCCCATGGCTACGCCTATGCTTGAATCAGTTTGTATTCGTCAGCCCTAGCTGGATCAGGCCATAGTTTTATTTCTGCTAAGTCTTGTTAGAAATTTATCAAAAAAATATAAATTAAATACATACGGATAAAATCGAATACAAAAATTTGATTTGACCTAATCCCAGAGAATTCTAATTACCGTTTTATTTTAATTTAAAATATGAGAATATTATATTTTTAGTTTTTAAAAATATTTCTTGAGCCCTCGTCCAGCCCGGCCCCAACTTATTTTTTTTTAATTTAGGCCCGAGCCAGGCTACGGGTTAACTTTTAGGACCTTTTGTATTATAGCGAGACCGTTTAATATTGGATTATATATTTAAGGAAGCTATTTAGATTGCGCAACTTTATAAAATAAATAAATTAGGCACGAATGATAAAAAATTGATAAGTATTATCGCGGGCAGGAGCAATGCCCAACGACAGCAGATTAGAGGAGCTTACAGTCAACAGTTCAAAAGGATCTTATTTAAAGATGTAAAAAAACAAATTTTTTTTCCCCCTAATGTAAAAAAAGATGAAAGAAGAGGGAAAAATAATAAATAACATGTTATTTTATGACCAATATTTTAAAACAATCAAAAAATTACCCATATAATAAGATTCTGAACCGATTTTTGCAAAATCAGTTATAACTCCTGTGTTTTTTAAGATATTATAAAGAACAATATATGAATCGATATCTATAACTATATTCTATAAAAGTCTCTTATAAATAATTTTTAAAATATAATCATGTTTTTGAAATTATTTGATTTATAAAAGTTGAAATTTTAATAGCGGGGTTAGGCAAACCACTGCAAGGGGCTTCCTAAATAATTTTTAGGCTATAATGAATTGAAATACATTTTTATACTTAAGAAAATGATTGTGATATTGAAAATTTGTAATAATATTGGTAGATTATATTTTCCAGAAAGATTGTAGGCCAATTAAACAAATAGAAATCGAATAATGAATTTTCGAATTCAACTTTTAAAAAATTGAATAATTTATTATTCGTATTTGATTAGTACAATTACAAATAGTAAATTATTCAATGCATTTTAAAAAATCGAATTTAAATAATTTATTAATTCGTTTTTAAAACAAAAAAAATAGAAAACAATACTTATTTTTTGCCCCCCCCCTTCCATAACAGGTATTTTATCCCAGTTATAGCTTAAATTAACATTAAATAATCGTTGATTTATTATTTATAGAGGGATTTAATCAAAGATATCAGAGGAGATACATCAGGCAATTATCGAAAGTTATTAGTAGCCTTACTGACTCCAAGTGCCCAATATAATGCGAAATTAAGTTAGAATAACTTACAAATTAGAAAAAACAAATATTACCTAACCTTTTTTTATATGAAGAATTTAAAGTTACAGGAAATCCAGCGACCTATTTTGCTGAAAGATTGCGTAAAGCTATGAAGGTATAAACTCATTCTTAAATTTTATTACAAATTTTTTATAGAGATTAGGGACAAAAGATAATGTTTTAATCAAAATTATAACGTCTCGGTCAGAGATAGATTTGGAAGACATTAAAAGCGAATATAATAGGTTATATAAAAAGAGTTTAGAGAAAGCTGTCAGGGTAAAACTTTAGATATTATTGATTGCTTAAAAATTAAAACCCTAGGGTGATGTAACTGGAAATTATCAAAAGCTTTTGGTAGCTATTATCAGAGGAAATCGAAAACCTTAGATGGTCTTAACAATATTCGCAAATGATTGATTCGATGAAAATAGAAATTTATTGTTTCCATCATGGCATACTATATATATATTTTATTATACTTTATTTCTATTTCTTAATATCAATTTTTAAAATTATATATTGATGTTTTTCATCTATACAAATTATATATTATTTCTATTATAATAATATAAATTATATATAATATATATACTTCATCATAATTTTAATCCATCATATGTAAAAATCAATGACATATAAGTCATTGGTTAAAATATAAGAACATAAAATCAAAATATGTAAAATTATATACAAAAAATAATAAAATATGAAAAAAGGATTTTTAAAAAAGGTTAGGTTAACTATACTATAATATATTTTTGAAGCTAATTATTTAAGTTTATATTTCAAGTCAATTATAGTTAAATTTAAAGGCCTCCCTTATCAATCTTAATTATAATTCTGTTTAATCTCTTATATAAATGAGATAACAAAATCTAATATCCTGTCTTTCAACTGACCATTCAATTCATTACTTTTTATAGTGGGATGCGCATCGAGGTCCTAACATTTGTGTTATTACCTCTATTTCGCATAAATTTCCAAAGTAGTATTATATTGATACCACCTCCGCCAACCATATCAGGAGGCGTAGCAATTTTAAAAAATGATTAAATTAAGAGGAATGTTGCATTAATTGAACGTCCATTTATTAAATATGTTTTAATCCTTTAAAATTCATAATTTTAGAGCTTTAAAAATATAAAAGAATTTCTTTTTAAATTTTAAGATTGGTAAATTTAAAAATATTAAATGTCATATATGATTAACTCATACAAATATAATATTATATAACTTGTGTAGTAAATTGGAATAATTAAAATTATATCTAATTTATTATTTTATGGTTTCAGACAAAGTAACTCGCGCTAGGAGCAGAAATATGATTTTAAAATGAAGGTTTCAAAAATGCATTGTGAAAGGGTTAAATATAATAATGTTATAAATGAACACATCCAAATTGAAAGCGTTCGTAAACGATATTTGTGTTTTATATAATATCCCATCCCCTATAGTGAATCCTGTCAAATAGTTTTTGGCTTAGCATGCTTATTAAACGACAATGATCTGCATCGATAATTTTTCGAACTCGCCTCGACCCGAAATAATTTTTAAAAAATTAGCCCTATCCGACCTTACTACATACTTAATTATTCTTTTATTTGTCCCCTTGAAGCGAAATAAAAATAATTAGTCTTATTAGTCCTACCGGCATCGCCCGAATTTATTTAAATATAGAAATTTTTTTTCATATATACTGTGATCCAATTGAACTGATGCCTGTTTTACTAATATATCATCAATTCTAAAAGTAATTCAATAAAATTTTAAAGATTGAGAGAAGGATAAATTATAAATATTTTTTGTAAATTTCATCAAATTCTCAATAGGACCTAAAGTTATGCACATTCAAAGTTGTAAACATAATTCAAGTTCTAACTTGTAAAAATTCATTTTTTTGCCAGGGAGAGAGCACAAAATAAGTAATATTTATAAAAACTATTTTAAATTACAAGAGAACAGGAACTGAGGGAATTTAGACAAGTTGAATGGGAAATTTGGTCATTCAAACTAACCCCTTTTATAACATGTAGGTAATATTTGTTTAACTATCTACACAAATGTTGATAAATTTGCCACTTAAATACTTTTAAAAGGATGCTTTGAGCAATTTTCCTTTAACAAAAGATTTTGATTATTTTTCACCAAAGGACTAGGATACTAGCATTCAATCTGATATATTTGAAAACAAGTGCAGATTTGTCACAATTAAAATTGCCTTTTCTAGTATCCGCTGGTAAAACCTTAGAATATAGTAAAATATATATGCGTTGTATTAAATATTAAATCAACCAAATAGCCAACATCCCTTTATCGAGGGTATCTTAACAACATCTCCATGTTTACAAATTCTAAAATGCTGGGAAGAATTTCACACACATTAAATTGTTAATTAAATGTGGCCATAACATGAGTAAAATGAATAAAAATTCGTTGTCAAATTTAAAAAATCAATAAGAGTAACTAAAAAATTTAATTAAAAAATATCAATAATACTTAAAAATTGAATTAAAGTTAAGGAAAATAGAAATATGCGGTAAAAGAAATAAAGTCGGGTTAAAAATAAAAAATATCTAGAAACAAGTGCTTTAAATTTTAAAAAATTATTAATAATTACTAAAAAATTTAATAAAAAATATCTAAAAAGTGTGATAATATTATACATACGTGATTTCTAGTTAAGCTAAAAACGTACGATAAAATTTATTTTATATAGCTATAACTTTAAGTATTGCAATCTTTAAATTAGGAACGTTAATATATTTTGCTAAATGAAAAATAAACTAGAGAGAAATTTTTATCGTTTTTGGGTAAAATACTGTTTTACCAGGAAAATTCTTAAAAAAATGAACATGTATAAGAAATTAAATATAAAATTAAAACTTCACACAAAATTTAAAGTCTTTATTCTCAAGGGTTTAAAACCTATTCGCGTTAACATAACCCATCAATCGCTCTATCCTGGTCTTCCCTACATTATTATAGGTTGTATTGATTAATTAACATCTTAAATTTATTACATGACCAATAAAGGTTAAGAAAATTCCAGATTATATATTATCTTTAAATATAATTTTTTTTAAGATATTTCACTTATTAGTATCCTAAGGGATAAGTGCTACTAGATTCAGGGCCAGTCTGTCAGTTTAATTGTGCTTACATTATGATAATGGAATCTAGGGGGAAAAAATCTAAATTGCCTTAAATGAATATTATATATAATTTGTTTGTAATATTATTGAATACAAGATTAATTTATTTTATTGGATTTGACTATATTCCGACATACCACTAGAAAATCTATTTAAATTAAAATAGATTTTGAGAAGCATTATTTATTTATTTATTGATTTTTATATGACGTTTCATAATAATGATTTGATGCATTGTTTCATACTATTAAATCTAACCATGGTTTCATAATATATTTAATAATAGTTAAAATTAAATTTGGAAAATTAAATATATAGTAGATTTTAAAAAAACTATATTTATATAGTATATAATCAATGAAAACTTTATTATTCCAAAGATTAATGTTGATTTAATTTTTTTTGTATAATATGATTAATAAACCTTGAAATTTTATTTTAAAAATTGCAAATATCATCATTTAAACGCTGAAAGGATAATTACCATCTTACAATTTTTTTCAGCAAATAAGATCAAAAAGATAATTATTAAATAATGACAGATCGTTTTTCAATTAATAATTTCATCTGTTAAATAATTAAACCTTTTTGATAATAAACCTTTATAATATTATTATTTGCTCCTTATTTGAAATAGTTTATTCATATTAATTTTTTCAACGATAACAGTGGTGAGATGACTATTAACAGGTCAAATTTAATTCTCCTGTTTTTTGTTTGCATTCAAAGCCTTATTCTGTTAAATGGACAAGAGGCAACAAGATCTAGGGTTAACTAAGTTTATATTTATGCTGTAAGAAACTAGTTTAATTTTCTGCTTTAATAAATCACGCTCTAATACATGTTGTTTGAATCTTAACTAATTAGAAACTAATTTTTAAATAATATTATGAGTAGTTTAATAATAAGATTAAGACCCTTTTTAAAATTCAAATCTGACAAACTTTTATCAAGAAATAATTTATTCATGAATAAATATTTTTGCTCTTAGAAATTATTATTAGTTATCAAAATTAGATTAAGAGTTTAAAGTAAGTAAGTTACATTGTAAATCAAAATACATTTTTGGATATTGTTCATTTTATCATTATTGTAATAATAAAGTTCGCCGGAGGTACAATCGAGCCCGCCCCTAATTTTAACCCGGAAACCGATGCTAGAGCCTTAAGGAGCTCCATAAAAGGAATCGGTATAATTTTAATTTATATTAGATTTCAGGCGCGTTACCAATGGGGGGGGGGGGATTTCCCTCTCCATCGCAAATTTTAGTGTTTTCATAAATATCATTTTAAGCTAATAAGATTTTTATCCCACCCCCCCAATCAAAATTTTGCAAATATTTGAATATTAATTTTCCAACATAAAATTTATTTTTTTAAATAAATTAAAAAAATTTTTTTTCCTGTGTGAGTCAGTATCCAGGATTTTCTTAATTCTTGATGAATTGGCAAATTTCCCCACGAAAATTATAAATCACATTATAATTATAGTATTTAATAAATTTTTTGTATAATATTGTATTTGATAAGAAGTTATAAAAACTTGCCTTTTAAATTATTTTCTAGTCAATATTTTATACATACTACAATTAGTATTTTCAATAAAAAAATTTTATTCTACTTATACTGTATGAGAATATAAGCTGAGGCTAGATTTTAAAGCAAATTTTATAAAGAAATATGTCACTAAACTTTATTTTAATATTACATTTTAAAAAAAAATTTATTAAATATAATATATCTAGACCTGTGCTCTGACAGCATCATCGGCGGCGGCGTTTCTTTTTTTTAAAACGATCAGCTTGCGGCAAATCTATTTAAATGCCGCCACAAAAATCGGCGGCGAGGCGGCCTCATTTATTTTTCTAACTTAAATATTTTTTAAAATTATAAATTCATTGGAAACACTTTTAAGATAAAATTTATGCTTTTATTATGTTTATAACTATAATTTAACGATTTTATTAATATTTAAAAAAAAACTAATTTATGTATTTTAAAATACTACCTGAAGATCTGATATTGGAAATCTATGATCAAATTTATTAATCAAATTTATTAAGCAAAAGCTATGGGAAGACTATTCATTATAATTGTTTAGTCTTGCTATGTTTATATATAGACCTGCGCGCCGACGAAATATCGGCGGCGCGCCGATTTTTAGCCGCTGTCAATTAAATCGACGTAAATCGGCGCATATATAAATTTTTATAAGATAAATTTTTTTAATTGCTTATTAATTTTTTAAAAAAAAAACAAATAAATATATACACTATTCTACAGATATCTCAGCATATTTTTTAATATTCATTTATTATATCCAAAATCGATTTCGTAATTTTATAAATATCATGTATAAAAATTATTTTATTTAAATTTTTGGGACATAATGATGAACTCCTTGAATTTAACGTCAATCCAGCGGTAGAGAAAACTCTTTCACTAGGTGTGCTAGTCGCCGGGATGCAAAGAATTATTTTGGCGAGCCTGGAAAGATTGGGAAGTTCACTCTTCTTTTCGCTCCAAAAATTTAGAACGTCCATATCTTGTATATGTCGTTTTCCAAGAAAACTGTAGCATTCTTGTTCTAAGTCACCTAATTTGGAATCATAATTTATATATGTTGAATGTTTATTTGCAAATTTTGTCAAATAACTTGAATTTAATAATACATCTTCATCCTCATTAGCTATATTTACTACCTGATTATCATCATTCTCTATAAGTGTAAATAAATTCTGAATCTGAGCAATTTTGCTCTATTAAATATTTTGACACAATTGTCAATTTTTAAAATCTTGGATCTAAAAGAGAAGCCAATACCTAGATCATTTTAAATAAAAAATAAAAGAATATACTTATATAATATTATTTGCAGATTACAAACCGGAAATCGTAACGCAAGTTTTTTTTAGCATATTTTCCTTAAGTGAAATATTTTCAGAACTATCACTATCATTCAGTATTAAATGTTTTTCAATTTCACTTCTAAAAAGTAACGCCAAGTTTAAAGTAGGCCCTTTTTGTACTGAAAGAAATTCGACAATTTCTTTAAATTTTGAAAGTAATGCTAATAGTTCTTCAACCAGTTCAGATTCATAATTTGAGAAAGTGCTTCCCAATTCTTTTCAAAACATTATAAATTAAATTCTTATTTAATCCAGATAGGCTTTCTAGCATAATTAATATACTATGCCAACGTGTTGGGATATTTAATTTTAAGGTTTTCATATGTGTAGAATTATTGTTATTATTATCATTGGAATTGCCAATTTCGTGTATCCGGGTATGGATCAATGCTGTCAAGATCTAACATGTCTGATGTTAAATGTATTGTACTTAGGCATTTTCTTTGATATTCCTCGAATTCAAATTCAACCTTTGCAGTTTTATATCTTAGAGCAGTAATAATTTCTCTAATTCTTTTGCAAAAATTTCCAGACTATGGATTTATTATTATCAGAGTTAGGATATTTAAAAATATGTAAGCTTATGGTAACTTTTGGAATTATAGATTTTTGATTGATTGAATTCTATAATGTTGTCAATATAATTAAGATTTTAAAATAGTAGAAAATAAAAAATCATCAAAATCCTGATTGACATTAAAAAATTACAAGAGTGATGTTGACCAATTATTAGAATAAAAGGTTAGAAAGAAATTGCGCCGGCGTGATTTTCTTAAACGGCGGCGTTTTCGGCGTAACCAAAAAAGAGGTCAATTTATATAAGTTATAATGACAATAAAATAATAATCATTAATTAAAATTTCCATTTATGATAAAAAAATAAATTTTAAAGATGAGTTGTAGATAGCATTAGGAAAATATTGTATTACTTCTTATATAATAATTAATGGTCTTATAAAGATTTGAAAATAAAAAATTAAAAGAATAAAATATATAATAATATTTAAATGCCTTTTTTGTAAATTACTAGCTTAATAATACATATCAACTTGTTACAAATCAAATATTTTTATAGCAAATAATATTTATTAATTTTAAAAATCGCATTTTTTAATAATTTAAAAAATATTTAATATTATTTTTCTTCTAATTACAATTCATAAATAATATATAAAATAAATTTTATTTTTAATAAAAAATATGTACTATGCTATCACGCCGCCGAATTTTTTACATCAGCGTGGTCAAAAATTACCACCGGCGGCGTATTTGATTGGCGGCGCATAGGTTTAAGAAATTAAGTTATAACTTTTTTCTTCTTTAAATATCCATAAGCGCGAATTAGTAATTAAAAGCTAAAAATATTAATAAAATTATTATTGAATTATGAATAATTTAATAGAATAGCTCAAACATATGTGGGGGCGAAGAATCCCCCAAAAATTTCCCCCTATAGGAAAATCCTAAATATGTTACTGAATGAATTATACTATTTTTTTAAATTACCATATTTTTCGAAACTAAATTTTTGGCGTCCATAGTATTTATTAACCTCCTTATAAAAATGGTGGTTGAATAAAGGAGTATATCTATTTTGGTTACATTTTTAACACATAAATTCAATCGTAGGCTCTTACAATGGCTAGGAGAGGTATGATACAGGTATTGATTTGATAGTATCTTATTCTTTTATTTCTAAAATACTAAACTATGATGGCTGAGTATATTTTATCCAACCACATTAAAAATGATTTAACTATGGTTTATTTAATATAGTTAAACGGGTGTCATTATTAAATATACAATAAGAGAGGGTAGACAATGTGAGATTTTATTTTAATTTAATACATATTGAAATTAAATAAGGACAAGCAATTAGTTAAGATTAAAAGTCTATTTAAATATAAAAATAAGTTATGTTGGAAATTTAATTTAAAATAAAAAAATGTGTTAAAATATCTTAAATTTTTCTAAAGTAATAAAAAAAAGAAGATTATTATAGAATTTTTATTATTCAATAGTAGTATACTAATTTTTCCAATTTAAATGAAAATAAAAACTCCCAATCTTCGTCGAAAATATAATGACCAAAAAGAATACACAAATACTGCAATGCCTGAAAAACAACAAATGAAAATATAATATCGCAAAATGTATTAAAATGTCTACGGCATAGGGCCATAAATTTAGATACGACACATTCCCAAAAATAAATGGAGATCCTCTAAAAGAATGCAATATTTCAAAAAAGAGGAAGTACTACCATATTTGAAAGAAACAACATTAGTTTATTAATGTAAATAACACTCTTACTTTCCATGAAATGATAGAAAATTTGTCCCCTACAAGTACAAAAACGAGAACAACTATTATTAGATATATCAAAAATATTGGTCCAAAAAAACAGCTGGCAAGGAGTCTGATAGGAGAAATACTCCCGGACAATTAATATTCGTCAAATAAGTTTATAAAGAACTTAAATATCCCAATAGAAAACTTATATTTCTTAGATAAAACTGGAATAAACTTGCATGCTGTACCAATCTACCCCTAGTCGTCATACAATGACCGTCCAATGATAAAAATTTTATCCTCCAAGAATAAAAATGTAGGTATACTTTCTATAATTGGATTGGAGGGGTAATCCATTACAAGATAATCGAAGGAGCTTATAATGGGTTATTATTCAGTGATTCTATGACAGAGTTTATTAGTATCTTACCATCGGATGCAATCATTGTATTAGTTAATACATCTATCGATAGAAGCTATTTTATCAATACCTTACAGGTACCTACCACCATATTCACCTCAACTTCCCATCGAAAATTTTTTTGGAGTCTTGGAAAATAAATATCGAGCAATCAATCCCCGTCCCAAATAAATTGTTGGGAATATTTAGCTCTTGCGTGGATTTATTCCTTATGGTTTTACTAACTTTTACAATCATATGCAAAGCAATTTATATTAGGGTGGGCAACTGATTAATTAGAAATCCTCATAATTGATCTGTATTAATAATTTTAATGTTGACTTTTATGTTCTAAAAATGCAAAGCAATTTATATTAGGGTGGGCAACTGATTAATTAGAAATCCTCATAATTGATCTGTATTAATAATTTTAATGTTGACTTTTTTATGTTCTAAAAAGGTACAACATTGAGTACAAGGAACAAATGGAATGATTTGATAAATTTTAATTATATTTTTTTATATATTTATTATTTTATCAAGATTATTAATAAAAGCTTTAATAATGGTTTATAGTATTAATATATTTTTATTGAAATAAATAGATATAAAATGGATTACATTTAAGAAATTCTAAAAAATTTCAAATTTAAAAAAGACTTTTTACAAAAAAAGATTTATTAGATGAAATTTAAACAAAAAACTTACTAGAGTATTCTCAAAGAAGATCAAAAAAAATTTTCATATTTCATCACAAATTATATTTATATAACATAATTTCTTTATTTATCAATATGTAATAAATTAAAATCTTACTTTGTTTTCCCCTTTTATTGTATATTTAATAATTACTACACTCGTTTCGTTTTAATAAAAAAAACTGTCTCAAAAAATTCTATTCTATACTATATCAATTCGTGAATTGATAAATTTTTTCTAAATATATTTTTGTTCATGTCATTTTTCTGTCCCTACACTTGTAAAAAACCAATCGAATTTATATTTTCAACAAACTTCGAAATTATTTGAAAACACAATCAAATATTTCTATCGGTAATAAATATGATAATGAATATTTATGTTTTTCTATGCAAACATTTCTCTTAATTTAGAAGCTCATTTTAAAATGTAATTATGATAAAATAAACATTAAGCATATTTCATTTTTAAGACTCAGATTTTGAATTTTTAGCTATGTAAGAAGAATATTACTGTTAGATTAACAACTTAAAAAAAAAAAATCAGGCACAAATGATAAAAAGTTGATACGTATCGTAGCTGGGAGGAACAATGTTCAAAGACAGCAAATTAGGCAAGCTTATAGACAGATATATAAAAGAGTAACAGTTTGAATTTAATCATACTTAATAATTGACATTCTAAATTTATAGGATTTAATCAAAGATATTAAAGGTGACACAACTGGGAATTATCAAAATTTATTGGTGGCTTTAATGACCCCACCTAACGACTACGATGCCCAATTAATCAGAAAATCTATTAAAGTACATACCTGTTACATGAGTTATAATTTGTTAATTTATATTGAGAGACAATTATTATCAAAATTAATTTATCATAATATATAATGTAATATTTATTAATCTTAAAATTAAAAAATCTTTTATAATACATAAATTCTAAGACTAAGAATAAAATGCTATTTTTTTATGATAAAATCTTGGAATATCTCCATTCATTTTTTTTACTTTGATTAAATTATTCTTTGAAAATAAAGACCTAAAAATTTATTTTATTTTATTGACTAGGGGCTAGGTACAGATTTTGATTTATTACTGGAAATCATGCTAACTCGTTCACCAGAACAAATAAATGCCCTACGCGAAGCTTATAAGCGATGTTAATAATTATAAACATTTTAATTTATTTAAATACAAAATATAAAATTATAAATATATATATGTTAATTAATGTAATTTGAAATGTTAAGTGTACAAAAAGGATCTAGCAAAGTCTATTAAAGGAGATACACATGGGAAAGTGGAAGATTTACTTGTCTTATTAAGCCAAGTTTTATTTGATTTTTATTTTTTTTTCAAAATATCACTTATATAGGGTAATAGAGATCAATCACGGCAAACTGATCCCGCGGCAGCACTGAGAGATGCCCAGGTAAACTTGATAATAAAATTATTTTTGTATAATATTTAGGATTATATTTTTTTAAAACATATTTTAGAGGTTGTACCAAGGATCCGGGTCTAAGTTATTAGGGGGAAATAATGCTAAAATATTTTCGGATATATTAGCCACGAGAAATTTAGATCAGCTAAATTTGATATTCGATCAATATAGTCGATTGACCAAAATGCCGATCGAAGAAACCATTAAAAAAGGAGCAGTTGGGAAATATCGCCAAAGCCTGCTTCAATTAGGTGAAAAAAACATTTAGAAAACATAAATATTTTTTTACTTACCATTATTTATAAAACAGTGGAAATTATTAGAAACCCGCCGACATATTTTGCCAAAAGATTGAATAGAGCTATGAAAGTAAAAACACATTCTAAAATTGTAAAATATAATTTTTAAGGGCCTAGGGACAAAAGATAAAGTTTTAACTAGAATTATGGCTTCTCGCTCTGAGATTGATTTAGAAGACATTAAAAACGAATATTACAAGTTATATAAAAAAACTTTGGAAAAAGCTGTTAGGGTATAATTTTAGATATTATTTGTTTGTTTAAAATTATGAAAAATTCTAGGGTGATGTAACTGGAAATTATCAAAATCTTTTGGTGGCCATTATTAAAGGAAATCGAAAACCAATATAGATGATCGAAATTAACAATATGGGCAAATAAATAAATAACTAAATGAAAATAAAATACTTTTAGTTTTCTTTCATGTTTATATATATATAATTGTTGCCATAATTAATATTACAATTAGAATATACCACTTTATAAAATAACTATACTTGTGTTCGTGTAACATTCCACTTATTAGCCTATTAACAATCAGATTAGCATTTCTCTTTCTACTCTGTCTCATATAATTTATAGTCTTTGTCAACCGTGTTCTCTTTTACAATTAGTCAATTATATAACAATCATATTTATATCTGATTTTCAGCATATCTCCTAATTACTTGATTTTTTTGATTAATTACCCTGCATTTAAAATCTTCTAATGATTAAAAACTATCTCTTATTGAATTCAGACATGAATGGTGTTGATACTATAAATATTACCATGCCCGAAAACTACTTGATAATAAAGCCCTTATTACAAATGCGTACCTGGAAGTGATGGTGGAGGGGGGGGGGGGGTCAGCAAATTTTATATATATTGCTGCTTCCTTTTTAGAAGAGTACTTTTTCCAGGGGAATATGTTGATTCATTTATTAAAGGGGGTATAGGAGCCCCTTGATGAACCTGTCATTTACATATTTGACAATCATCTATTTACATAGGATTAACATTTTTCTACAAAAGAATCAGTAAAATTAATAAATATGGAGGCATTATAGGAAAGGTAACCAGGTATTTTTGATAATTTGTAAATTTTCATCTTTCTTAAAATTTTATATTTATTAAAAAGTATCCAATTTCTTCGTATTTATTTCTACCGTAGGAGATATATGAACAAATTAAATTTAAATAATTTGGAATATTTGTAAGATATATTTTATAACCCTTCAACTTTTATGGATAATATAACCTTGGACTCTCTTACCTCTTTCTAGAAAAATTACACTATAAATATTTTGGTGAATAAACTACCCATTTAAATTACTGGTATTTACAAAAATATCTTTCTTAGGCTTTTAGACCTTACAAGCCTTATTTGCTATACATATATTTAGATGAATCTGGTTAAATTATTGAAATAAACAGGTATAACATGTTGTTAAGTAAATATAAGCGTAGACAAAAAAAAGAGTATCCTGTATCTAAAAGAGTCTTTTTTAGCGAAGATATAAATATCTTATATCTTATAATATTTTTATATTTTTAATGTATCTACATGCTTTACCTGCCTAATTCTGGGATGCCCGTAGAGGGTTTTATAAAAAAAACTCTAAAAAAGGTCATTATCCCAAATACTATGTTAAGATCAAGCAACAGCCCGAGTCGAATCATATTAGTCCCATGGTATTTTGGAATTTCATTTAATTTGAGTCATACTTGCATCTTGCAACATCTTATAATTGAAATGCTCGAGCTATCAGCTCATTTAATTATTTCCCTTACCTATTTCATATTAGAGAGAACACGAAATGAATCAAGTTTAAATTATAGCTAATTTTACCTATATAAAGATATATATATAGCAATAATTAAGAAAGGGAGAATCAGATATTTAAAATAGCGTGGCTAATATCTAGAAAGACAAGGATGTAACGGAAAAAAATTAATAAAAGTTAAATAAGGGAAATCATTGATAAAGGCTTTGAATAAAATGTGTGTATTCTGGGTAAATTAGTGTGAAGGCACATATAAGGTTAATTATGTGAATGCTATTAAAGCATAGTTGAAATCAAACTTCAAAATGTCGAGATTATCATCATCATATTATAGGATTATGCGGATAGAATGAACTGCTAAGAAACATCCATTTTTTGTCCCAAAACCTAATTACTTTATAGTTATAATAAATTCCAGATTTTATTCAATTATTTATTATCTGTTATTCTGTTGATAGACTACATGGCTATTAGCCAGACTCTATTATTTGGCAGTGCGATAAGCCGTGCTAACAACAGACTAGGTATATCCATCAGAGGGATCTCGTCCTTTATGATTTTGTTTAGGAGAATGGTCATGTTTGTTATTAAAGTTGGTGGGGTTAATTAGGTCTTGAGGTGATATTTGATGTCCTCCTATTAAATGTTTTTTGAATAAATTTACACCTGATTTTAAATGAAATTTAAGGATAGAGAAATTAGGGTGTAGGCGCAATTAATGATATACGATCCTGAGGCATATCTTAATTCAGTAAGTTGAGTGTGCTAAAATTTACGGGTGCCAGTCTTTCATTTGAACTGGCTATTTTAAGTGCACTGATAATATTGAGAATATTTTTAGGAAATTAATTTGGCTTTAATGTTGAATGAATCTCTATTAGAAATATTTGTTTGTTACAGATTGGTACTCATTTTTATTATTATAGGATGATAATTTTTACTTATTTAGCTTAAATAAGTTGGATCTATTCTTGGGAGATGTACATAAGATGTAAAATGAAAATAAGAAGAAATTGGAGTTGACCAAAAATTGTATGCTGCAATTTAAGGATTTTAATGAGGTTAAACATTCTGCCACTGTTTTCTCAGCATCTCTGAGGATTCTTATAAATATATGCGAAATTTTAAAAGTTTGAAAGATATCTAATCTCTGATTTGAAATTTGGTCGATGTGAAATGAGTGTAGTCCGGAAATATATTACGTGAAAATGAATTGCTATTTTACCTAATCTGGTTACTAATTTTAATTGATTGCAAGAGCTTTTGAGTTATGATGAGAGAACATGAATGTGTGATCCTATCGTGGAACTCCATTCAGAATGATATATATTATTGAATTATGGTAGACTGATTTAAGATAATTTTCCTTAAAATTATCATCTGAAAATAGCGCTTTTTGAACGTCCAGAAATTAGTTTTACATTACCAGTGCTATTTATGTGCCTTTCAGTGTTAAATATCCCAATATCTAACTCTTTAGAAATATTTATTCCAAATATATTTTTCATATGATGCTGGAATGATGCTTCCCAGAGACTTTCAATTAGTTAAATTTAAAAAAAATGGACTAAGTAGAATAGTTGGCGATAATATTTATATAAAAAATTATATTTGAAATCGAAAAACATTAGGCGTTAGCCACACAGTGAATCATTTTTGAAGAGTTTATAATGTTTTAGTTATTAATTTATTCTCGATCATCAAAATTTATTCATTTTCAATTTTTTGGTTGTAAATTTTTTAAAATTATTAAACACTTTTTTAATTTTAAAATTAACATTAGGAGAAACAAGAGTGACCAAAAATTAACGATGTTCGGTAATATTTTCACTTGGGTATTATGCTATTTTTCTTAAAGTTTAATAAATTATATGCTAACAAAACTTTATTTACCTTAAAGATTAATTTTTATTTGTTATTCTTTATTCGTCGAATAAACCTTGAAAAATTTATAACAACATTTGCAAATGTCACCTTATATGCTGAAAGGATAATTTTATTATTTTTTGGAACCCCAAAAAACTATTTTTAAGAAAGTATTGATAGATCGTTTGTTAATTAATAATTTTCATTATTAAAATGTTCAAATTCCAATTATTTATTAATTCGCATAAAACTACATATTATAAATTCAATTTTGTTTGAAATAGGTTTAAATATTATCTTTCTTTTCTCATAAGAAATGATCATTATCAGATCAGATTTAATTCTCTTATTTTTTATTTACCTTCAAAGTCTCATTTTGCTTAAAGGACAAGAAGCACCAAGATCTGGGGTAACTATAAGTTTATATATTTATAAATAAATTGATTTCATTCTTCTTTTATATATCACGCCTTGTTATCTTAATAAACCATTAACAACTATTAAAATGTATTTTGAATGGTAATCATTCAAAGATATGTGATTATTTTTTTAAATATAAGGAGTAATGCAATTCATCTAAACTAAAGCATCATCCAACCCTTTCCCTTTCAAATTAGGCAAATGAATGATACTAAATAGGAAATGGTAAGGAAATTTGTAATAAAAATGTTATATATGCGTAACTTCAAAATTATTAATAATGAGTACTCAAAATTAGAATAATTGTTATTAAGAGGTGCTTCTAATATTAAGGCGTGTTAAAGATACTAAAAATCTACAAATAAAAAAATACTAAAGATAAATTTATTTTTAATATTTAAAATATGGAACATTTCCCAATGATGCTATAATTTGAATGTCTTACTGAACAATCGTTCTACCTTAGCATTTGAGGTTAAAAAATTATCTATTTCAATTGCTTTCAATTTCACCATAACCAATATATCTTATATTAGCAGATCTATGCTTAGATTTTTGGCTGTCCTGGGTAAAAATATTTTGGGCAACCTGATTAAAATTTAGGTTGCCTATGTTTATCATTATTTCCCCTATATTTTACTTTTAAAAAAGATAGAGAAAACAAGATCTATTAAAATCTAATTATCACATAAATAGTTATTTTACTGAATAATTATAAGATACACTATAAATTTAGCTTGAGACAATATATGTTGATATTAAACACCATTGTATAATGTAGCTAAAAATTAAATATAATATCTTTGCAATCAAAACAAATAACGATATATAAAATTGAGAGATAGGGTAATAAGAAGATACTATGTTTTGCTGGATCTGAGACAGGATTAATTTAAGCTTTAAAATGCTACACCCATCCAAAGTGTCATCGAAAGTGTTAGTAAAATCGAAATATCTGGGTTCATTATTATGGGAAAGCCTATAAATTTGTTTAGAAGTGTTTATGGTAAAATATAGTAATTAGTTATTGATCAATAAATCTAGTTTATTAAGGTTACTTTCCAGTGAGCTTTGGTCTGTAAGCAAAATATATAATTTATTGTAATGAATTTGTAAATCTGCTGAAATATTAGTGATGAAAAGTTTGATCGAGAAATAATTTGAAAATTTTATTACGATATTCTACCAGTGCATTATGTTAGGTTCTTCTTATCCTAAAAACTGCTATCGAGTTTTCTTACATCAAATTAGCGTTTTCAGTGGGAAGCAGTTTCTTCTAAACTCATCTCTAACTTATTAGTAAGCTTTTTTGCAGTGATTAAGAAATAAAATAGTACTTTTAAATCGATCCATAAATTAATTCTTTTTTTTATAAAGGTTACTACATTATAAAAGTAGATAACAAAATTTGTCTATGACAAACCATCTTGCAAATAACTAGAGTAACCATAATTAACATTAAAAATATTTTAATCTAGAAATAGAATCTTAAAATATTTAGATGTAATTTTTGAATCGCCATTTAAAATCCGATATTTAAAACTCAACCTTAAGGCTTGCCGTTATAATTTTGGTCTCACTTATAACTGTTTCTCTTTGATTGAAAAACTAGTTGATAAATTAGGGAATCAAGCATTACATATTTGGTAATTTTTTTCCTATTTTGCCAATAATGCGCTTTTTTAAAATTATTTACCAAACTCTAAATATGCATTAATAATTGATATAAGTTTCAGAAAATTAATACTTCCAAAGGTTTAGCTGGCGTCACGCTTATTGACCTATTATTTTACTTTTTCTTAAGGTTGCAAAATATAATTCATCAAACATTAATGCAAACCAGATTTATATTACGCGTTCTGAAACGATGACTATTTAGCAATTTTTTTCTTATTCTTATAATTGTTTTCCCCCTTTAAGCTATTTAACTAACAGATAAAATCAATAAACTAATTATAAACTACTTAATGTAATGGCTCGAAATAAATTTATGAATTATTATTTCTAAAAGCTTGGTTCACTTTACGCTTAAGGTGTGACCTCATATTTTTTATTTTGCCTATAAACGTTTTTTTATAGTTACTGTAATGATTACTAGTTAAACACTAAATATAAGTACAACGAGATATTTAGTTCTTCTATATTTTTTATTCTGGTATGATGCCTATTTTGGTTAATTTTTTTTTAGTTTGTAAAAATTTTTTTTTTCTTTATACTATCTTAACAAACGTATATACAATTGAGGGCTAAACATTGATAACATTTCGGAATAAATTCCTTCAATCTCTTTTTGTTTCTAATAACTGATTCCGTTATATTGGCTACTATACTGGTTTTGATACACTCATAGGTACTAATAAAACACGAAATATTGATATAGATTTAATAATTAGTGCCCCCAATTGTTAAGCCAAATTTTAAAGAGATGATATAAATACATTAAATATTTTTACTTCTTGGATAAATCCTGGCTATGCATTACTCTACTCTTTATATTATGGTAATATAATAAAGTTTGCTGGTGGTACGATTGAGCCTGCTCCAAATTTTAACCCACAAGCCGACGCTATTGCACTGAGGAGAGCAATAAGAGGAATCGGTATGGTACTAAATTTTATTTGTTTTATTGAATATAAATATTTATTTTAAATTAATTATATTATTTATACAAATTATTATAAGTAGGGGGACTGGGGTTAGGTGAATCCCGGGGCTTGGCAAACCATTTAATCTCATTTTTAAATTAAATATACATATAGTTTTCATTAGTATACATCTATGGACAAAAAATATTTTGAAATAATTAATTACTAAAAATTTATTTAAGAAATAAAATTTTGATGAAATTTTCAAAATATTTTTACATGACAGAAATTTAATTTTTATTAAAATATATAATAATTTAAATTTTATTGCAAAGTTTAAACACTCTTCTATAATTTGGGTAAGTGTTATGAGTATTTATCAAATTTAGATATTATTTCAATCATCATTTGTCAATTTAGAGCTTGCGGGGTTTGCTGAACCATACAATGTCATTTATGGCAGTTAATAATGAAAAAAATTTCAAAATCTTGAAAAGTCAATTTCATAGTTGTTCATGATTGGTATTTAGGATTTATGCTAAGAAATCTTAATCTCTCCTTAAAATTCATATTTTTTTATATCCAAAATGTTTATTAAATTAGCCAAAATTAAGTATCAATTTTTATAAATAATTAGCTTCAATTTATAAGTAGGGGAGACCAGGGCTAGTCGGCACAATTAGGGGTGGGACCAATACCAATATAATATTGGTTTACAATACCAATACCAATATAAACCAATATATAATTAAATATTGGTATTGTTTTTACAACCAATACCAATACCAATTACCTAAATATATTGGTTTTGAAATATTGTTTAAATACAATTTTAACCAATACCAATACCAATATTAAAAATTTAAAATAGATAAATACATAAAATTATTTGGTTTTATCGTGGATAATTATATCGTGGATAATTATATCGTGGTAATTTTTTTACTTTCATTCATAAACATATTACATCTGTTATTTCTTCCAAATATTCCTGTGATATCAATATTGGTGTTATTTATAATTATAGTTTATTTTTATTATGGAAGTAAGTTTTCTATATGATATCTATCAATTTTATCTATTAATTCATTTAGGATATTATAATGAATGAAAACCAAATCGAGTTAATAAATATAGATAATGATGTTGATACTAATAATAATAGCGATAATGAACAAGAAGAATCAACGATATCTAATAAAAGACGAAATACAGCAAAAATCTGGGAATTTTATACTAGTTGTGATAACAAAAAAAAGGCTATTTGTAATAAATGTAAAAAAAAAAAAGAATTATCTATTCCCAATTTTGGAACCTCAGGATTATGGACACATCTTAAATCCATCCACCCAACTTTTTATAAGAAATGTGAACAAATAAATAATGGCAGTAAAAAAATTAACACCATAAAATCATTTTTAATTAATAATGTAAATAATAAAGCTAATTTAAATAATTTAATTATGGACTTTTTTATTCAAAATAATTTAGCTTTTTCAATGGTTGAAAATGAGTCATTTAAAAATTTAATAAGCTTTTGCAACCCCTCATTAACATTAATTTCTAGAAAAACACTTAAAAAAGAAATTATGAAACATTATCATAGTTCTTTTATCAATTTAAAATCTGTACTTTCTAAAATTACTTCTAAATTTTCTTTAACAATGGACATTTGGTCCTCTCCAAATAAAATACCCTTTATGGGCATAACCATTCATTATATTGATAATGATTTTAAATTAATTAATCATTTATTAGATTTTATTTCTTTTAAATCAGCACATAATGCTATTAATATTTATAATATTTTTAATTCTGTATTAAAAGTAAAATTTGAAATTGATTTTTTTTGTATTACAATAGATAATGCTAGTAATAATTTAGATTTTTAAAAATTTTAAAACTAAAAGACAATTTTGATAATGTGTGCAAATGTTTTTGCCATATTATCCATTTATCTGTCATGGCTGCATTGGAACCTCTAAATCCAACTTTAAAAAAAATAAGAAATTTTTTAAAAATTTTTAAACTTTCTATATCTAAATTTAATAAACTTGAAAAAACATATCTTGAAAAATCCAAATTTAAAATTTCCTCACCCTATTTTGGATATACCAACACGTTGGAATTCAACGTACCAAATGCTCGAAAGGGCTATATTGCTCAAACCTTATCTCACAATATATACCAATCATCAACAAAATACTAATGAAGAATATTATTAGTGCCTTATATATACCAATCATCAACAAAATACTAATGAAGAATATTATATTAGTGCCTTAGCTTGGAATAATATTGAAATATACCGAGAATTTTTAGAACCATTTAATTTTGCTACAGAGATGGCCTCATGTGCTAATACTCCATCAGTTTCAACAATCATTCCTTTATATTCCAGTATTTTTGAGCACGTTGAGAGTTATGCCTAATGCTATTTTAAAGACAGCTTCATAGCTGCCTTGACAAAACTTAATAAATACTATAATTTTAATAAACACCTATATATTATTTCAACAATGATTGACCCAAACTATCAAGTCACTTATTAAAGCATAATAGTATAGAAACTCTTATTGGATGTCTAACCAATGAATATAATATTTATAAAACAAATAATTACAATTCAGCTGAACCTACAAATGAAACACAAAATAACAAAAAATTATCCTTTTTTGACAAAATATATCAGGTTAAACCTAGTCACAACAATAATAACTTAGAAATAAGCAAATATGTGGATGAAACCACCATTTATAATGATACAAATCCATTAGACTGGTGGAAATTAAATAAAAATAGATATCCAATATTATCAAAAATTGCCAGAGATTATCTTGCAATTCCAGCTTCTTCATCTAGCTCTGAAAGGGCTTTTTCAGAAGAAAGGTATCTTATAACATATCAACGTTGTTCACTAGATGAGCATACTATCCAAGCTTGCATGTGCTTAAAAAGTTGGATGCGCATGAAGGATTCTTCTTAAATACATAAATTTTTTTCTTTATATTACAATCTTTTGCACTATATTTTATATAAATAGACATTTATGTTACATTTTTAGTGTATTCATTTTGCTATATTCTTTGTGCTAAATAAAAAGTTTCAAAATATACGTTTATTATTTGATTGGTTTGTTGATTTCAAAAATATATTAGTTTAAAAAAAAATTTGGATTTAGTAAAATTTTGGAAGTTGGTTCTTAGCCTTGTTTTTATGGTAATGCTTCATGATTTTTTTTTTCCATGTTTATTTAAAACTAGAAATTAAGAGTTTTATAATCACTATTTCTATTCTTTTAATTAGTAATTTGAATTTAAACCAATACCAATATAAACCAATATATACCAATATAAACCAATACCAATAGCAATACCAATACAAGAAATAGAAAATATTGTTTAAACCAATACCAATATTTTAGACCCAATACCAATACAATATTTTGTTTATATTGGGTTTTTAATATTGGTTACCAGCCCTAGGCACAATTTTTGTCAAAATCGTCTAGCTCCGAAAATAATGATCATATAAGTTCTTACAAAATACCAATAGATATTTTTAACATCTACCTATAAATATATACTGCTATATTTTTTAAATATTTAATAATTATTTCTCTAGAAAGGTTTTAGTAAAAGTCTGGTTTTTCCTTTAAAATTTTTAATAATGATACGGGTTTGAACCTAGTAGCCCCGAACCCGTGGTTAGTCGGATCATCGATGGGGCTAGTCGAATCAAGTGGTTTAGGCTTCTTATGGGACAAAAAAATTTTTTCCAGATTTACTTTATTTTTATATTCTATTTACAATTAAAATAACAATCTTTTTGACAGAGAACCACTCTGCATTGAAACCAATCTTCAAAATTATGAAAACTTTTATAATCCTATTTACATATAACAATCTTTTTTGACAGAGAACCACTTTACATTTAAACCAATCTTCAAAATTATGAAAACTTTTATAATCCTGTTTACATATAATACACACATCTTTTATTTTATTAATAATAAATATACTCAAAATTTACTAATTCTATATTTTAATATTAACATCATTTGATTTTATTATCAGGCTAAATATAATCTGATAACTAAAATGTTCATGTCCAATAAAATGAATTAATTTGAATCATATTATATTGTCAATTAAAAAAAATATATAGATATAAATATTTGTTTGTTAGATATAACATTTTAAATATATTGATTATCAGGCCAAAATTTATATGCTAAAATGTTCATATTTAATAAAATGTATTAATTTGAATCATATTATATTGTCAATTAAAAAAAATATATATATTATATTTGTTTGCTAGATAGATATAATTAATTTAAATAATTGATCTTATTATCAGGCTAAAATTAATATATGCAATATATATAATATCTGTGACAATATATAATATATTATCACAATATGTATATGAAGATTTTAGTGTGCAAGATATTTATTTAGGTCTGATATTATATTAAAATTGAAATGTATTATGAAAAATCAATCACATTAATAAATTTATATAATAATTATTATTTAATATATTACTTTATAAAATATTATATTATCTGTGACAATAGATAATATATTATCACAATATGTATATGAAGATTTTAGTTTGCAAGATATTTATTTAGGTCTGATATTATATTAAAATTGAAATGTATTATGAAAAATCAATCACATTAATAAATTTATATAATATTTATTATTTAATATATTAGGGGAGACCGGGGATAGTGTGTTCCCGGGGTAGGTATTTCCTTCTCAAATAATTTAAAAATTAATAAAGTTTAAGATTTGACATTTAAGCCAAATATGTATTATAATAAGGTGCTTAAGTAAATTGTTTCGGACAAAATTGCTCATGAAAAATTTTAAATGCAAATTTAAGTTTCAACATACCCAAAGTAACTTTTTTAAATTTTACATTTTCACGAATAACTTTTTTTATAAAAGTTGTTCAGACTTAATATAAATTCTAAATGATAAAAAAATCTCCATTTTATCAT